GGTGTGCGGTTGTGAGGCCGGTTGGACGTACTGCCTAATTCTCTAAAACTATGTTTATGGTAGAGAAATTAACATTCAATTCTCTGGCAACAGCTTCTGTGGACATTCCTGCAGTCAGCATGCCATTTGCACGCTCCCTCAAAACTTAAGACATCTGTGGCATTGTGTAGTGACAAAAATGCACATTTTAGTGGACTTTTATTGTCCCCAGCACAAGGTGCACATATGTAATAATCATGCTGTTTAATCAGCTTATTGATATGCCACACCTGTCAGGTGGATGGATTATCTTGGCAAAGTATAAAATGCTCACTAATGGGGATGTAAACAAATTTGTGCACAAAATTTGACAAATCAGCTTTTTGTGCATCTGGAAAATGTCTGGGATCTTTTATTTCAGCTCATGAAACATGGGACCAACACTACATGTTGCGTTTATAGTTTTGTTCAGTATAACATGTATTTACTCAGGGGGTTGAATATTTATCTAATCAAGAGTGTTTTATTTTTTTTGTCTTACAAATGTTAGAATTCTTTGACATGTGTAGATCATTGACAGACAAATCAATTTGAATACCCCTTTGTTACAACAAAATGTGGAAAAAGTCTAGGGGTGTGAATACTTTCAGAAGGCACTTTAAGGACGTGTTTTCACTATATTCACTGATTTGTTCATTTTAGTTATTGGTCATAGGTAAATTTTATTTAAATAAAACAATTGTATGTATTTGCATACTGCTGTAACTTAAATATTTAGTAGCACAGTATAGTAACTTCTGTAGACGTGTCTTTTGAGAAATGTAAGATTCATTGAAGGGTGAAATTACATGGGGATGCAGGGCAAACAATAAGTTTATATTTTATGTAATTATTTACATGGGATCCCTTATTTTCTGAGTTCCTTTGTTTTCATAAATAAACCACCAACATACAATTGTGAGCTCTTTGGTTCTTTGTATCCTATCCACATCACAGCTGTTACAGCCAATAGAAGGCAGGGACATAGCTATGTTAAAGGTTTGTTTGTAACAGACAGAAATTGAATTGAAAGTGCAGACTTCTATTTCACATGACAATACACATAATTAACCTACACTTGCTGTTGCAACAATTGTTTTGTTACAAGTGTTGTGATACAAGCGCATATATTGACAATACCGCAGTTCGTCAGTTTACAATAATACTGCATTGAAATGCAAAAATGCTATATAAATGATACTGCCATACCCCAATGTAAATGCACAGGCTTACTTTGCTTTGACCAGCACATTAGTCGGCCATTGAATGGTCATAACATATTTCTGGCAGACGTCTTTCAGCACACAAATAATCAACTTCAGTCTGCACCATATATTTTTGTACAAGCCGTTTACAAATATAGAAGCATAGGGCATATGAATACATGTGTGTCACTATAACTGTCACATAATCAAACATATTCTGGAACTTCCAGTGTCAGCAGTTGGATCCACTGTGACAGTTCGTTTGTCCCGTACTACGACTGCCTGGTTTCCATTCTGACTGTACCACGTACTTTGACTCCTACTGAGGTAGTTACTCGGTGGGCCCTGTTCCAGCTCCATTTGCTGCTGTTGCCAAATGAGCAGCGATGTGTCCTTGAACCTAAATCGCGCATAGCCCTCCGAGAGGGCTTTCTCGGCTAAAGGATATCTCTCAGACATGATGTTGCCGTCATCTCTCCGATCTCTTGTTTTGTTGCCACTGACTGCCTGGGTGGGCAGGGATGGGGTAGCGTTGACGTAGTTTTGGAGTTATCAAAGAAAACGGTTCGGGTTGCGCGACAGATTAAGCAGCTAGCTAACGTTAGCTAACTGAGATAATCTGGTTGTCAGTAGCTTGTAAATGACACCGTCCCCGACCATACTGTTGTGCCACCCAACCGTGTGAAACGTTGACCACCACACGTACATGTGGATATAGATAACGTTAGCTAGCTTGTTGCTAACGTAACATCGTTAGCGATCCAGCTTCCTTAAAAAGAAAAGTATGTATATCAACTGGATTTGTTTTCTGTGAGGTTTGTTCAATGCGATTCCGTAGTGATTTGCAATCTTGACGCAGGTTTTACAACATAAATCAATCAGACATTGCTGAGCCGAGGTGTATTTGTTGGTGCTGCCACAGAGTTAAGTCAAAGCTTCTTTTCCACCGGATGCGTTAAAACACTGCGTTCCGGCGGAAGCCATTCATTGTCAATGGACTTGCGGCGGAAGTCATTCATTGGCAATGGAGCAGTCCGCAACGCTTTTATTAATTTTTTTATTTTTATTTCATCTTTATTTAACCAGGTAAGCCAGTTGAGAACAAGTTCTCATTTACAACTGCGACCTGGCCAAGATAAAGCAAAGCAGTGCGATAAAAACAACAACACAGAGTTACATATGGGGTAAAACAAAACATAAAGTCAAAAATACAACAGAAAATATATATACAGTGTGTGCAAATGTAGCAAGTTGTGGAGGTAAGGCAATAAATAGGCTATAGTGCAAAATAATTACAATTAGTATTAACACTGGAATGATAGATGTGCAAGAGATGATGTGCAAATAGAGATACTGGGGTGCAAATGAGCAAAATAAATAACAATATAGGGATGAGGTAGTTGGGCAGGCTAATTTCAGATGGGCTGTGTACAGGTGCAGTGATCGGTAAGGTGCTCTGACAACTGATGCTTAAAGTTAGTGAGGGAGATAAGTGTCTCCAGCTTCAGAGATTTTTGCAATTTGTTCCAGTCATTGGCAGCAGAGAACTGGAAGGAATGGCGGCCAAAGGAGGTGTTGGCTTTGGGGATGACCAGTGAGATATACCTGCTGGAGCGCATACTACGGGTGGGTGTTGCTATGGTGACCAATGAGATAAGATAAGGCGGGGATTTGCCTAGAAGTGATTTATAGATGGCCTGGAGCCAGTGGGTTTTGCGACGAATATGTAGTGAGGACCAGCCAACAAGAGCGTACAGGTCACAGTGGTGGGTAGTATATGGGGCTTTGGAGACAAAACGGATGGCACTGTGATAGACTACATCCAATTTGCTGAGCAGAGTGTTGGAGGCTATTTTGTAAATGACATCGCCGAAGTCAAGGATCGGTAGGATAGTCCGTTTTACGAGGGCATGTTTGGCAGCATGAGTGAAGGAGGCTTTTTTGCGAAATAGGAAACCGATTCTAGATTTAACTTTGGATTGGAGATTCTTAATGTGAGTCTGGAAGGAGGGTTTACAGTCTAACCAGACACCTAGGTATTTGTAGTTGTCCACATACTCTAGGTCAGACCCATCGAGAGTAGTGATTCTAGTCGGGTGGGCGGGTGCCAGCAGCGTTCGATTGAAGAGCATGCATTTAGTTTTACTAGTGTTTAAGAGCAGTTGGAGGCTACTGAAGGAGTGTTGTATGGCATTGAAGCTCGTTTGGAGGTTTGTTAACACAGTGTCCAATGAAGGGCCAGATGTATACAAAATGGTGTCGTCTGCGTAGAGGTGGATCTGAGAGTCACCAGCAGCAAGAGCGAAATCATTGATATACACTGAGAAAAGAGTCGGCCCAAGAATTGAACCCTGTGGCACCCCCATAGAGACTGCCATAGGTCCAGACAACAGGACCTCCGATTTGACACATTGAACTCTATCTGAGAAGTAGTTGGTGAACCAGGCGAGGCAGTCATTTGAGAAACCAAGGCTATTTAGTCTGCCAATAAGAATGCGGTGGTTGACAGAGTCGAAAGCCTTGGCCAGGTCGATGAAGACGGCTGCACAGTACTGTCTATTATCGATCGTGGTTATAATATCGTTTAGGACCTTGAGCGTGGCTGAAGTGCACCCATTACCAGCTCGGAAATCGGATTGCATAGCGGAGAAGGTACGGTGGGATTCGAAATGGTCGGTGATCTGTTTGTTAACTTGGCTTTCAAAAACTTTCGAAAGGCAGGGCAGGATGTATATAGGTCTGTAACAGTTTGGATCTAGAGTGTCACCCCCTTTGAAGAGGGGGATGACCGCGGCAGCTTTCCAATCTCTGGGGATCTCAGACGTTACGAAAGAGAGGTTGAACAGGCTAGTAAGTTTGGGATGCAGCACGGCTGCGGTGCGTTCTGTGTACCACATGCGTTCAATATGAATGCGTTGCATTACCGTGCGGTGGTACAAACAGAAGTTCATAAATGTTCCCCATGGGGAAGAGTGGCACCATAGAGGCCAAAATGATACTGACTATTGTGTTATTAGAGACAAGAAGATACCGGCTGAAGGACTTGTCTCCATGTAAGGAGGACACTGGGAGAATTCATCATTACTACACTTGGGTAGTGCAAACCAGCCAACAGAATGGCTTGTGTAATTTAGCATCCCATCATGCAGGTGAAGCTAGTGATTTCAAATCAGTACTCTATATGACAACCAGTTAAATGTATTGATGTTGCTTGAGATTGAGACAGAAGGCTAGAAACAAACTATACTGAACACAAATATAAAGTGTTGGTCCCATGTTTCATGAGCTGAAATAAAATATATCAGAAATGTTCCAATACACAAAACAATAGTATTGTTGTGCACAAATTTGTTTACATCCCTGTTACAGATAACTCAAGTTTTGACCGGCCTCACACCTGCAGACCACCTGTATGGCGTCATGTGAGCAGGCGAGCGGTTTGCTGATGTCAACGTTGTGAACAGAGTGCCGCATGGTGGCGGTGGGGTTATGGTATGAGCAGGCATAAGCTATGGACAACGAACACTATTGCATTTTATTGATGTCAATTGAATGCACATAGATACCCTGATGAGATCCTGAGGCTCATTGTTGTGCCATTCATCCGCCGCCATCGCCTCATGTTTCAGCATTATAATGCATGGCCCCATGTAGCAAGGATCTGTACACAAATGCCACAAATGGCAAAACACATGTGTATCTGGTGGACATATGGCTTAAGTCTTTGGTACTGCTTATGGCAACAGTGTGTCCGAGAATCAATCCGAGACACAATGGTTTCATATTCCAGATTTTATTATTTAGTTTAACTTTTTGGTCCCTTGAGATTTAATAAATCACTTTTTCGGGAGAGACCAGCCCATGAAAGCAGCATTCTTGCATAAATGTTAGAAAAGCATACGCTACAATAAAACCCTTTAGCCAAAATGCCAAACTTATTCATGTCTAGTTGAAAGGGAATGACCACAGAACATGGAGACAGACCTCAGCGAGTATAGAAGATAGTATTGTAGACATTAAAACCATTCAGTAAAAATCAATTTTCTCTTCTTGTAGTTTGCTGAAAGCCAGATGCAAAACAAAACCACAGTATATTTGAATCTAGTAATGCAATGTTGATGTTTAAATCAGGTCCTGCAAGCTTGACATTCATTACTGGAATCAGGGCAGTAAAAGAAAGTAGCAGCCCAAGTTAAATAAACTGGTTAAGGTGTGCTAGCTCTCTGGAGAATTTGCAAGGCTGTCAGCTGTGGTGGTAATATTGTAGGCTAAGCTGCTTCGAGGCTTTGCCTTCACTTTTTCTTTGGGACTGCCTCCAAGGGTTTCCCAATGTCCTTCCCACGCAACTTCAGTCCTATGGACAACAAGGAGGAAAAACGCTCAGATTTTTGTTGACACCATCTCGAAACACCTGGGCTTTATTGTTCCATTAGTGATACTGATATAATCATATATTATTGTAATCAGACTAGTTAGTACAAAAATAACCCAATAATGGTGTCAAACAGGCCTATGCTGCGAGAAGGATGATTTGACAACCACAAATCCATATGAAGCTATGCTAGAAAATGTAGAATGTCAGTGTCAGAAAAAAGACCTGTAAATAAAAACTCACCAATTGCTCTTTCAATCTTTCCCATGACTTGGTTATTGGGGATAGCCTTTCCAGATTCGTAATCTCCAATTATCTGTGGTTTTTCATTGATTTTCTAAAAAAAATTGACCAACAACATATCCATGACTGGTATAGAAAATTAATTTGATCCAAGCCCTGCTAAGCAAAGGTAAATACACTTCAATAAACAACCCTCAGTGAAAATGAACAGTTCCTATATTTTAATCTCTTCATCCACATTTGGGAGAGTGTACTTACAGTGGCCAGGTCTTTCTGTGTCAGGCCCTGATTTTGCCGGCCTTGCTGGATGACCTTGCCCACCTCCAGAGATACTCTTTGGTGTTGAAGCTCTTCAGTCTCTCTGTCAAGCTTGGCTGTATTCTTGGTGATCACGTGCTGTTTGTTTTGTCCTGCAGCCCCTGAGAGAGGGAGAGAAGAAGAGAGGGGTAATATAGGCTAACACAAATTCAACAACAATATCTAATTCTTGGGACTATCAGGCAAATGCTGTACAATATTACATGTATTCTAAGATACAAGACTCAAACAAAAAGGGCCACCCTTTGTTCTTCATTCCTGATCCTGGGGACCCACATGGTTTTCAGGTTTTTGTTCCAGCCCAGTAGACACACTTGACTCAACTAATCATAAAGCACTTGAGTTTAATCAACTACTGTATGTTACTGGGCTGGAAAAAGTACACCCTGTGGATCCCAAGAATCAAGATTGACGTTGACTGACATTGTCTTATGTCAGAGTTTGACAGCAGTCTGCTTTGATGGCCGATGTAGCCTAGCTGTCGAAAGACAATGGGTGGCCCCTTTAGTTACATATCATACAAAATGGCTCTAACAACCTGTATTGGCAGATTTAAATAACTATATTTCTAGACTTACGTCACAGACAAATGTGTGTTTGTGCTTTTGTGTTTAAATATGAATATGTTTACTCCCCTTCAGTACACTTCCCCTGGGAAATCAAACACTTGCTCAATACTGCCATGATTCCATCATTGTAGATAATGAAATTCGAATTGGCAGTAAAGAACAAAAATTGTAATTGAGTAAAAACTAAAGGCCTTGATGACATTATTGAGATGGTGTGTGTAGCAAGCAATCCATCTGTTATCTCAACATTTAATAATAAATAACCACAGACATGGCACAACATCCTTCAAAACCAAAAGATAACACAAGGACAGGAACAAATTGATGGGAGTTCTTACATTTCTTAGTGGTATCAAGTTCTTCCCCACGTCTTTGAGCTGCTGCAACAGCCTAAAAGACAGTAACGTATCACATTGTTGTGTCAATGTGTTCTGGCTGTGTAGCAAGTTCATAAATTATAACTAGTTAAACGTTACCTACTTAGCCACATTACAGGACACACACCAAAGTTTAAAGGGAAAGTCAATAATAACAACACCACCATCTTTGGTTAACATAACTAGACTGTAGTCTTTAGCTAACTACTAGCTAGCTAGGTACATTTGGAACCATTTCTGGCAAACGTCGGCCAACTTATTACAAGTTCGAATGCAAATAAGCTAGCAGGGTAGACAGCTAGTAAGAAAAAGTAAATAGGTTTTAAGCCAAAGATAGCCAAGCCAGCTAGGTCCCAGTTCACTGACAAGCGTGTTCAGACGCTGGCTAACCAGACTACGCTAGTTATCAGCTAACGTTCGCTAACGCATTAGCCCAAGCTTGCTAGCTACCTAACTAACGTTAGCTACCTGTTTCGACTTCGACTGTGCGACAGATGGTCCCTTCTTTCTCAGTACGGTCACGGTATCCCAGTCACTTTCTGCCATGTTCTTGAGTGTACCTTGATGGCAACAATGTATAAACAGGTTGGTTTAGATACAAAATGTAAAGTCAGTATGGTATGCGATAACTTTAGCGTTCGCTAATATAACGTGGTAACTATGAAAGTACCGTATTGACCGAATAGTCGACCCCAGCGTCACAGCAGTTTTATAATGACGTCACATACCGTACTTTCACGCGTTGAGCTATAATAATGACGCGTTCACAATAACTGGGAACTCGGAAAAATACGAGGTCAAATCAAGACGTCAGTGATCTTCAGGTCGGATCTCTAGAAAGATGCCCGAGTATCTCGTTTTTTTTCTCCGAATTCCCAGTTGATTGAAGGCTCGGAAGTCGGAGAGTGCGAGCTCCCAGTATTTTTGAACGCGGCATATGAACTGGAGATCGTCCTCCAAGATGGCCGACCGTTGTGTTCGATGTAGAGTGCGTTCGTAAATTAACTCTGGCTATCTATTCCGATTTCCAGAGCGCTCTCGTCTGAGTGTGCAGAATAACTGATGAATTTACGAACGCGCAACACACGTTAAATATGACCAGTGTCAGTAAACGTCGGCAAAAAACGTAATTAAATTGTTGCCAGCAGCATAGTTAGTCACCAACGCTCTAGATAACATTGAAACAGCCTAACCAGCTCTGCTAGGGCGAGAAAAATGGTCAGAGGTGTTCTCTAATTAATGTCTGGAAGTAGCTACGCTAGCTAACTTTAGCCAGTTAGCTTGGGTGTTTGACTGCAGTTGTGAGGTCAAACCTACTCTCCTGCCAGAGCGTCCAGTTTGCGCTCCGAGAGCGAAATGCTCTGAATTTACGAACGGACAATCTGACAACGCTCTGAATTTACGAACGCCCTCTGGTACTGCAGAGTGAATTTACGAACACACCCGTAATTTCGCAGCTAGAACAAGGATACCGATTTCACCGGATGTATAAATATGAAGCATCCGGTTGGCGTTTCCACTTACTACCAAATATGGTGATGTGAGGAAGCCCAGTGGCCGCAGTGGGAGAAGATGGAGCGAGATGGATTTTGGCCGACATTCTGCTAATTTTCTCATCAATGAAACATTTTATCTACATACCGTTTTCTGTTTCCAAAACCAGAACCTGTAATACACAGAGTGCACTAAGTTTGGTAGGCTTGACTTACCTAATTGAAATAGAGATTACTTTGTTTAGGACGAGTGCACTAGGTAGTTGCCGTTTCCTAATGAACAACGTCATGCATATTCAGTAGCACACAAATGGTCCCTGTCCTCTTCTTGGCGGTAGATAGCTTGCTTGTCCCCATAGATATTGAGCTAGCTAGCTAATTCTCAACTCACAAATAACAAAACAAAAAACGTACTTGGCGTAAATAGCTAGAAATCAATGTCCTTGCAAGTTTTTCCACTACTAGTCCTAAGTCTCAGAATAATTAAAAAAATCACGATAAGACACATACGACGTCAATAAATACCTTGTTTACTGTAAAATGTTCTCTTTGTTTTTGTTTAGGGGGAGGGGAAGCAATATGAAAAACAAATCATTACCCAAAGCTAATTTCCAGCATGATTATGAAAATGTTGAGCTGGAACCTCATGTGTTTGTCAAAGATCCTGATACCTACTGAAGCAAAGATGAGGCTATGTGCAGCAATTGACTGCAATACTGTCCAGAGAAAGGTATATGTCCAACAGACTTTGAAAGGTATTTAATAAATAAACAGAAGATGCATTTGGAGTAATTATGGTAAGGCACATGTTGTTGGCTGTAATCAATAGTGTGCTGTATCCATGACTATCCATCTAATCAAACATTTAAGCAATGCTCACTCGTGATCACAGATAGATAAAACATGCTACCAGTAATGAAACAAAACTATAGCTGAGTGTAACACAACTAGCATGATGAGGCAGCATGGCTAGCTAACGTTAGTTGACCAATGTGTCCAGCTACATTACACCCAAGGGTATCCCAGGGTATGCTGCACAATCAATAGGAGCCATCATTTGTGACACTGGGTCATTACAAAGCAATTTATCCAGCAGTAGAACACCATTAAGGACCTCTTAAGTTATGGTTGATGTCTGTAAAACATTGTATAGGCAACTACTTATGTTCTGTTTCCCTATGATCAGATTAGGTCAGTATACCATAAAATATAGCCTACTATAATTATATGCATCTTCAGAAAATTGACAAAACACAAAAGGTTGTACATTTTACAAACATTTAGTAAAGGCCCGTTAACATGGTGAAAAATATAGAACATATAGAAACCATGAAAATAACGAGCATTTGATCACAACCTGGAAGAACAACTTGAGCGTGCATCCCCTCTCAATAGGAAAACGATACAAAAAAGAAAGACATACACCATGTGTAGAACTAGAGCATCGCTTTAAAAGAGCAATCAGGAGGTTCAAGAAGGTAGCAACTGAAAATGTTTCATAGGATGAGCTAAAGTGTGGATCTTCTTTCTAGAATCTGTTCTAAATCAGGCAATGGTTGTTATGGTGGTATCTCACAGAGAGGAATGTGTCAGTTTTGATTGAAGATAAGGAGTGTGAGGTAGACCCCCAGAAGTCAGAAGACTACAGGGATGGAGTCCATATACAGTGCATTCGGAAAGTATTCAGACATTACATTTTTACATTTTAGTCATTTAGCAGACGCTCTTATCCAGAGCGACTTACAGTTAGTGAGTGCATACATTATTTTTACTTTTTCATACTGGCCCCCCGTGGGAATCGAACCCACAACCCTGGCGTTGCAAACGCCATGCTCTACCAACTGAGCTACATCCCTGAGACCCATTCCCCTTTTCCACATTATGTTACGTTACAGCATTATTCTAAAATGTATAGTACATGTTTTTTGCCTCATCAATCTACACACAATACCACCTAATGATGAAGCGAAAACAGGTTTTTACATATTTTTGAAAATTTCATTAAAATAAAAACAGAAATACCTTATTTACAGAAGTATTCAGACCCTTTGCTATGAGACTACAAATTGAGTTCAGGTGCATCCTGTTTCCATTGATCATCCTTGTGATGTTTCTACAACTTGATTGGACATGATTTGGAAAGGCACAAACCTGTCTATATAAGGTCCCACAGTTGACAGTGCATGTCAAATAAAAAACGAAGCCATGAGGTCGAAGGAATTGTCCGTAGAGCTCCGAGACAGTATTGTGTCGAGGCACAGATCTGGGGAAGGGTACCAAAAAATGTCTGCAGCATTGAAGGTCCCCAAAAACACAGTGGCCTCCATCATTCTTAAATTGAAGAAGTTTGGAACCACCAAGACTCTTCCTAGAGCTGGCCACCCAGCCAAACTGAGCAATCGGGGGAGAAGGGCCTTGGGTAGAACCCAATGGTCACTCTGACAGAGCTCCAGAGTTCCTCTGTGGAGATGGGAGAACCTTCCAGAAGGACAACGATCTCTGCAGCACTCCACCAATCAGGCCTTTATGGTAGAGTGGCCAGACGGAAGCCACTTCTCAATAAAAGGCACATGACAGCCCGCTTGGAGTTTGCCAAAAGGCACTTAAAGGACTCTCAGACCATGAGAAACAAGATTCTCTGGTCTGATGAAACCAAGATTGAACTCTTTGGCCTGAATGCCAAGCGTCACGTCTGGAGGAAACCTGGCACCATCCCTATGGTGAAGCATGATGGTGGCAGCATCATGCTGTGGGGATGTTTTTCAGCGGCAGAGACTAGTCAGGATCGAGGGAAAAATGAACGGAGCAAAGTACAGAGAGATCCTTGATAAAAACCTGCTACAGAGCGCTCAGGACCTCAGACTGGGGCGAAGGTTCACCTTCCAACAGGACAACGACCCTAAGCACACAGCCAAGACAATGCAGGACTAGCTTCGGGACAAGTCTCTGAATGTCCTTGAGTGGCCCAGCCAGAGCCCGGACTTGAAACCGATCGAACATCTCTGGAGAGACCTGAAAATAGCTGTGCAGCGACGCTCCCCATTCAACCTGACAGAGTTTGAGAGGATCTGCAGAGAAGAATGGGAGAAACTCCCAAAATACAGGTGTGCCAAGCTTGTAGCGTCAGACCCAAGAAGACTCGAGGCTGTAATCACTGCCAAAGGTGCTTCAACAAAGTACTGAGTGAAGGGTCTGAATACTTATGTAAATGTAATATTTCCGTTTTTTATTTTATTTATAAATTAGCAAACATTTCTAAAAACCTGTTTTGATTTGTCATTATGGGGTATTGTGAGTAGATTGATTAGGGGGAAAAAACAATGTAATCAATTTTAGAATAAGGCTGTAATGTAACAAAATGTGGAAAAAGTCAAGAGGTCTGAATACCTTCCAAATGCACTGTACACTACTAACTGTAGCACACGATCAGTAATACTGTAAGGTTCTCATTTGGTTGCTGGGTCACAAGAGTAGCAAGGAAGGCTGCCCTTTTGCTGACTTCTGGGGACTACGTCACACTCCTTCTCTTAAACATACAGAGAGAAAAACGACATGGCTGCTGTTTAAATGAACTGTAGTGTACTATTTTATTAAATCAGGGTGTATAACAGGGATAGAGGACATAAACATAAACTAAACTCAGCAAAAAAAGAAACGTCCTCTCACTGTCAACTGCGTTTATTTTCAGCAAACTTAACATGTGTAAATATTTGTATTTGTATGAACATAACAAGATTCAACATCTGAGACATAAACTGACATGTGACTAACAGAAATGGAAAATATGCACCTGAACAAAGGGGGGGTAAAAATCAAAAGTAACAGTCAGTGTCTGGTGGGGCCACCAGCTGCATTAAGTACTGCAGTGCATCTCCTCCTCATGGACTGCACCAGATTTGCCAGTTCTTGCTGTGAGATGTTACCCCACTCTTCCACCAAGGCACCTGCAAGTTCCCAGACATTTCTGGGGGGAATGGCCCTAGCCCTCACCCTCCGATCCAACAGGTCCCAGACATGCTCAATGGGATTGAGATCCGGGCTCTTCGCTGGCCTTGGCAGAACACTGACATTCCTGTCTTGCAGGAAATCACGCACAGAACAAGCAGTATGGCTGGTGGCATTGTCATGCTGGAGGGTCATATCAGGATGAGCCTGCAGGAAGGGTACCACATGAGGGAGGAGGATGTCTTCCCTGTAACGCGCAGCGTTGAGATTGCCTACAATGACAACAAGCTCAGTCCGATGATGCTGTGACACACCGCCTCAGACCATGATGGACCCTCCACCTCCAAATCGATCCCGCTCCAGAGTACAG